GGAACATCTCTCATCACCCTTCATCCCCCAGCAAAAAAAGCATCTCCATTCCCCTCTTAATCAGTCCCCATGCAAACAGTTACAATAAAAAAAAGTGTAAGATCTGTGTCAGATATTAAACAGCAGCTGAACAAGATAACAGACACCTCTTCTCAAGACTGACACTTATTCTATAGATTCTATTTGGAGATCTCTTTTAACACTAACACGTGCTATAAACAGTTTTTACAGTAAAAAAAAAAAATAAAATAAAGGCCATGTTTGCATGCCTTTTTGTGAAGCCTGATCATACAGTGTGCCTGTACATGATGAATAAATCAAGGTCCCCACGATTATCTGTAGAACCTCATTAATCTGGGAATCCTGAGGGACCAGACCCAATGAAAGCAGTACTCTGTGTACCTTGTGGGCTAGTCAACACAGTGAATGAGGCAGCCCACAGTATGCACCCAGTAGCTGGTACATCTGACTGCATGCACAATGAAAGCCCTGATTTTACATTCTGATCTCCAGCCACTCTCCATAGTGGATGCGACACAATGGCATGCATTCATCTCCAGTTTGCCTTACCTTCAGCATATCTTTGTATCTGCCCATCTCTGCATGAGCAGTGATGAGGCAACCCAAAACCCGAAACCTGCCAGCAGGATCCGCAGACTTCTCCAAAACCCTCATCCAGACTTGCAGCGCCTTTTCGGTCTGATTAGACTGGTACAGATGGAGTCCTTTTTCTATCTGTTGCTTTGTCTGGTCCTGACCCATCTCCCATGCATTAAAAAGCCTCATATACTAACCTCTAAGGAGAGCAAAAAGGAAGTACCTGAGAGAGAACACAACATAAAATGCCCTAATACAGCAGGGCAGGTTGTGTGCTCGGAAAGCTTGGAGCCATAAAAGCCCAGCCGTGTAAGGGGGCTGGAGCTATGGTAAGCAATGGCAAGGAGTGGTTGTTCAGCACTGAAGGCAGAATCCCAAATCCATTAGGCAAACGTCTGGCTTGCTAAGACTCCGTCAATGCATTCGGCTGTCCAATCCCATAAACAAAGAGGAAAAACACAACAGGGAGAGAAAGAGAATAATCTCAAGCGATGGGAGTGAAACTCAATCTGAGCAGCCACTGCTGGGCCCCCCCATTGGCTGCAGCTGCGCCTGCCAGTCCTGCTCACATGGCTCCCAGGAATGCTAGTCAGGCTTCCCAGCTCCCAAGGTCAGGGTGAGCCAACTGCCCACCCCAGCCCGCCAGTATGCAGCTTATAAATACCCCAGGGAGAGACAATCAGCTGAAGTCATGGGGATGTCTCAGTTCTCTTGCCTTTCTCCCTTGTCATCCTCTTTTGCAAGCACTGGGGGGGCGGGCTAGCCTAGGAGGTAGCAGCCTCATCTAGGAATGTAGCTTTAGGAACAATACGTGTCTGAAGAAGTAGGATATGATTTGAAGTTTCAGCACATACATTATGCTTGCAGCAACGTGCCTAGTACTTTCCCAGGCTAAAAAATTCTGCCTTCCTCTTAAAACCTAAGCTGAGAATAGGGACAGTTTTAGTGGCCAACGGTCAGGATCTCTGCCACTGATGTGCTGCAAATGTGCCACTGACTTGTTAACCTCTCTAGGAGAGCAAGAAGCTAACCACACTGAAAAACTTTGTTCGTGACTGTTACTCACTGCCACCAGATACCTGCAAGTCCTCCAGAAGTTTTCAGTAGAAGTTGTCAAAGGCACTGTTGAAGTTCTGCTTCCAGAACTTTCTGATCTTTAATGACAACTGATAACAACAACTGAAAGCAATACATTTCTGCATAAGAAAGATGCAAGCACATATGAGGATTGTCAGCCCAATTATAAGGTAGCTTTTAACTCGCCTACACATCTTTGAAAGAGTAAAGTTAGACTGGTTACTCTAGGAATCAAGTTTCATACCCCTATTGATCTGGTGCAATTTTAATGGGCTTAAGTCTTTGTTATGTATAGATTTACTCTGTCCTTCAGAAGAAGAGATACCTGGGGAGTAGGGAGATGCATCAGAGGAGTTTAACATTTTTCAGATACAGAAGTCGCAGACACCTGTTTGGGATCCTTTTACAGGCCAAATAGAAGAAATGGCAATTCAAAGTTTTAACAACAGACCCAGATGCTGAAGCAGGCATGTCTCATTCTCTTCTGGGAGCTTTTGATATTCACATTACTTAATTTTGCATTGTTTATCAGGGATGTAATGTGCTTGGTGAAGCTTCAGAATAGACTGCATGCTCTCACACCCTAGAAGTAGAAACTATGGAAAAACCTATAGAAGACTGCAGGAAAGTAAAACTGACACAGGGCTGGCTCATGCGCCAAGATCACTTCAGCAGCACTGTTAGAATATCTGTTTACTGTATATTTTAGGACTTCATTAGAAGTCTGATTTGGAATATAAAAAACCCTCTTTCCAGCAGTGATTTTTATATGCCCATCTGGTGATGGGCACATAAAGGTGAGTGGCAGGATGGACACATGATACAGAAGGTTGATCCCCATGGAAAGCGGTGCTAATGGTGAGGCCATCTGTTTTTGGAACTTGGAGAAACTGAAGTTAAGAGGGACAGAGATGGGAGACATTGCAGTTGACAGCATGAAAAAATGAAGCCAGGCAGGACTCAAGAAGAGGGAAATAAAAGAAGTCACGATTATTTGCTGGAGCAGACCATTTTGTAAAATTACCTTCCACAAGTAGCCTGTCTGTACCTTAACTCATCCTGATGCTTTTGGCACTCTTCATCCATAATGCTGCTCTTATATCTGATGAGGAAAGGTCAAAGTGGAAAGGAGATGCCTTGCAGTCTGCCAAAGCCATTCTAGCAGGTAGGTGATCTGTCCTGCATTTTCTTGATTGCACTGTACTTCCTTGCTTTTGAGTTGCATGCTATTCTCCTCTGAAACGCTGCTTAGTTTCTTAAGAATCCACTCACAACTAGTCTGCCAAGATGAAAATTTAACCTAGTAAAATAAGGGCTAGGAGAACTGTCAAGCTCTAACTGGTCACTTTCAAAAAACAGAAACATACTCTGATATGTAACATACCACTTTCAGTCAAATGAGGCTGCCTAAGTATGGAAGGGTAAATGGGTAGCATCGCCAAGACACTGACTGTCTGAGAAATTAACAGCAGCAGTCAGTCTGTGGCTCAAGATTGGTCTAGTTTATAAATGATAAAAGTACAGCTTTTACATTAAATGATCAACAGTTTTCCTCAGGAACTGCAAATACGTAGGCCTGTGAGGTGCATGGAAACACTAAATTGGGGAATCTCACCTGTCACGCTGTGGAGCTATAGTCATACACATGGTCACTTCCTCAGAGTGACCACACTGAGCTGCTCGTCTCCTTCCCCACTGCTCTTCATAATGTATCCCCTGTGGCTCCTGGCCATATGAAGACAGCAGAACATGGCTGGTAAAGTCAGGAAGATTGAAGCCTGGAGTTAAAACAAGTAGTGAAAGCTGGAGGAGAATGTGAGAGGAAAACAATTTTGCCTAAACATTCAACATCAGGACTTAATGTACAGGTTTGTGTGTTTTCATGTTGATGAACTTAAGAACCCATGTGAAATGCCAGTGATTTTCAGAAATTAATACACTGGCTGTTATTTGTAGTTTAATACATTTAAGTATTGATAGATCTAGTCTCAGTTTCATAAGATATAATGGACAAAGTTGCTAACTGATCGTGTGAGATGACGCTAGTCAGCTTTGTTGCACAAGAAGGAATCTTCCATCCCAGCTAAGCGAACCACTTCTCCGATTCAATTGTTTCTCTCCATCTTTCACCTTGGACGTATCTAAACTGAAATCTCTCCAGCCCCCCTTCTCAACAGCTGCAAATTAAAACGAGTGATCCCAGCACACTATGCAACAGGTGGCTCAGTGCCTTGCTTCGCAATTGGTGCGCTACGGAGAACGGAATGCAGCACTGAATCCTGATGCTTGCAAGTGCTCTCAGATTTATTATCATGTAGGAAGTAATGGGGTGAAACAGAGCATGCCAGATAACAGAGAAAAAGTACACGGAGGAGGAACATAGCTGCCCTGAAAGTGCTTGCAGCCTGAGATGGAAGTCAGAAGGAAAAGCATTATTGACTTGTAGGATTTTTCACAAATGTGGCAGAGTCATAGCTGATGTGGTACTTTCCCCTCTCAGAGGGCCAATATTAACAACAAACTCAGTCAAGTTTATAAAGTGAACTATACTCTGACTACAGCAAATATTTATTTTTAGACAACTTAATTAACATATCTTAGTTCTAAGAGCAAAGCAGGCTACCTTTAGCTTATCACAAAACCTGAGCTAATAAGTCCTGCGGTGTTATAAAACCCCAACAGGTTTTATGAAAATTCCAATCATTTTGTATTTCCCTGTGTGGTATTTTCAGGACCAGGAGCACTGGGGACTGCAGATACCTTCACCTTGCAGAACCAAGACAGGCTCAGCAAGCTGGGTCTTGTTTGGAGTAAGGAAGCAGTGGGAGTGGAAGGTATGGTGTTTGTAGGAGAGGTATGAGTTGATTTCTCCAAGAGTGCTTATCTAATCCCACACACCACCACGCATCCATGCTGTTGTTATATAGCTCAAGTTCGGTGTTATGCTGAAGTTCATCAGCCCTTGAAACATCACGCAGCACACTGCATGCACAGGCAAATGGCTACCCAGCACTTCTGTGAGGCCGCAGATATATCTACAACCCACTCCCCAGTGTATCACATTTGCATTATCCACAATTTTTAGGATTTGACTAGAAAATGATACAAATTGAGGCTACAGAAACAAACCCTTTTTCATTTATACTCAAGGTAGCTAATCTACGTGGAAGGCTATTTTGTGCATCTAGAAAAGGTAACGTTGGACCATGAAAATTTTTGTAGCTCACGGCTACAAAACTCGAAGACAGTCCTCTCGTCTCTCTTCAGCTTCCCACACCTGTACCCCAGAAGAACCTCAAGTTCAAGACACAAACACAACACACAAGGACTCTTCTCAAACAGTTTAATAGCAAATAAACAAAGGAAGGTACCACACTTGGCATATACAAAATGACTTGTTGTCGGTGTGTCTGTGCAATTAAAACAGCTTTAAGTTGCCCTTTGGGACAAAAAGAAAAAAAAAACACACACACAAAAGGAAGAAAATTCCTTTAACACATACTCGCTCGTTCCAAACTTGTAACAAATCTTTTCATTTTAAATCCACTACACAAACTCTGCGATCAGATCAGAAAAGCAACATGTGCTCCTCTACTTTTGAAACCATTAAAGTAAAATCCGTAATTCTCTACAGAGTACAACACAATTTCACACAAAAAGACATTTTGTTTTGCAAATCAAAACAAGAAAAAAGGAACAGCTCAAACAAGGTAAAGAAAAGCATTTCTACGACTGAACCACGACTTCGAGTTGATTAAATTCCGTTACTGCAGAACAGACTCTACATTTGGTCATAGTGGCAATTTGTTTTCTCATCACATTGTGAATCACTTTACATTGTTTTCTAGTAGAAAAGGCAAAAAACTGTACAAAACCCCTAGTGTTAAATACAATGTTTGTACCAATAAAAAAGCCCACAGGTTTGTCTCCAAAATGTAAATTTTCTTTTTAAATTATTCACAAAAAGCAGCCAAAAATCAGAAAGGCAGCTGCTGCTCCACTGTCTCAAATCCATTAAAACCACCACAGAACAATTAAAACAACCAAAGGAAGAAAAAGGAAATAAGAAAGGAAAGAAACATCCAACGTTTGGCATTTTGGTTTTCTTCGGATATTTTTCCACAGGTTTCCCCAGAGTTCCTCATGGAACCACATGCGCACGTACAGAAATGCATTGGCAGTTGCTCAATACACTGCAGGGTATCAGTGCCCCCAGTGACACCCGGCCCTGTGCAATCAGACTGTGGGAATGACAGCAGCCAGCCCACAACCCTACCTCCAAAATAAACAAGCCTCTACCCTTTTCTCACCCAGCCTCACACTTCACTCCCAGGTATTTGTACCATATCCAAAAAATGTTCTGTCTCGAGCAGATTAAGGACTTTCTACACAAATCTAACCAGTATCTATTGAGAGTATATAGTATCCTCAGCCAACTCAGGAGTAGGGTAGGAGGATAAATCCTTTTGCATCCTCATTAGCCCAAACACTGGACAAAAGTAAGATTTCTATACAATCAAACATAATTAATTTTCTCAGCAAACCCCTTTCTCCTGGGATTTCACTTCACATTATTTTATACTGTTAAGATACCTAAACTAGCTCGCTTTGCCTTCCGACTGAAACTTCATCACAGCACACACTCTTCAGGTGCCTTCATCTAGAAGCTACGTCCCAGTTTCTACCTGTGCAGATCGTATGTAGGGTAGGGGGAAGCCTGCCACACAAAAAGCAGTAACCTGTTCTCTTTCATCCTGCAAGCTAGAAAAACTGCTTAGCTCATTACCCAATTAAAAACTAAACAAAAACTAAAAAATCTCCGTAGAGATTCCCCAGCTAAGGCCCTTGAGAAGAGAGCTGGGGATGGTACCCTGTTCAGGTAACAGCTTCAGAGGCTGTTGTATTGTGCTTGTCACTTGGGAAAAGAGCCAGCAGTTGTATGACCAGGTTTAAAAATACTTTCTCTAGAAGATTTCCAACACTTTGTTTCAAGAGCTACCCTAGATTCTTCCAGGATCCTGTCACCAAGGTCTGATTGATGGTATTAAGCTGGGGCTGGACTTCACAAAAATGTGCCCTGATTTATACAAAATGCTAGTAAAGAGTGTTTCAAAGGAGCCCCAGCTTCAGAGAGCTTTAGAAACAGAAATACTGTGAAGTTCCCCCACCTTCCTGCTTCCCAGCTATCCTCTTCCACCAAAACTCCTACTACAGGAACAACACAACCAAGCCCTCAGGAGCCTGTGACAGCACTGGAGATGAAACGAGGTCCAGGTGCTCTGTCAGGCAGACAGTCTAAGTGCACAGGTAGATGCCCTCAGGTGGCTTCTGATCAGATATTTGCCATACCAAAAACACCAATTTAAAAGGATACCTTTGAAACCCGTTAAATTGCTCAGTTTTTGCACAAACTATAGAAAACAGAGAGGTGAAGGTGATATATACGAGGGTGTGAAGAAAACAGCAGGAAACATGCAAAACATTTCTGGGCACTATCTCAGTTTGAAAGAATAAAACGAAAACATCACATTTTGCTGAGGAGATTGTAGTTACGAAAAAAAACAAGCATGCTGGGCTTAACAAAATACAACATCAACTTTGATACTTTGATCAAATTTTCACTGCAGACTGATAATCACACAGGGAAGCGGGGGAAAAATAAAACTAAAAAAAAAATATCAGTAAATGCCAGGGCAAAAATGTAGCTACAATCAGAAGAAAATGTAGTTCAAGTGTTTTCTGCTGATGCCACTCAAGTCACAAGTTTGAACTCATAAAAACACATGCTGTCTCCTCAAGCACAGAAACCAGATCAGCAAAATGTGACTAGGAAGTCTCCTGAAAGATTGAGTCACACCACATAATTGACTTTTTCTTCAAAACTGTGTTTTTAAAACTAAGCACACAGAAAAAAACTAAGCCTAGAAAGTGATTGGCTGTATGTTCACAGAAATACAAATACTCCACAAGGTATGCTAGCAAGGCTGCTCTGAAGACAATTACAAAGAATCAGATTCACAAAATCAAGTGGTTATCTTACGAAGGTCTAGAAAAATAGAAATTCTTTTATATTCAAATGCAAGTTTAAATATTCCCCCTTCAGCAGTCTTTCTAGCAAAACCAATTTGGCAGCACAAAAAAAAAAAAAAAAACAAAGAAAGAAACAAACATAATAAAAATACACATCAGCATCAAAAGTCAACACAAGGTCAAAGGTGAGAGTTCAAGCATCAGAGAAGCTGAAGAGACAAGGATTTGGACGATGTACTTGAACGCCACATCGACATGCTTTAGGCACAACGATGAACAAACGGCAGGAATCTAGAAAAAAAACAAACCAGAAAGAGGGAGACCCACTGAGTTACACAGAGCAGTACATCCAAACGAGGAGAGAGAGAACAAGAATGGGCACTGTACAATGAGACCTCCTGGGGAAGGGAGTTGACAGGGAAGGGCAGCACATGCCAACGATGGACAAGTAAAAGTCAAAGTACATGAAGGACACCAAGTAAACATCAAACTGCCAGAAACTAAATGGAAGCAGAGGCCTTGATTTCCCTCAACATCCAGTCCGTGGAGCACTCCACAGCCAAGTGACATGCTGACTAGCATGCATTCACCTTGTCCCATGCCCCGTGTCTCTCTTAGCTCTGTTTAAGAGAAGAACTGAGCAAGCACCCTCCCCAGGAGACTGACTCTGAAAATATGGCTCCAGGGCTCACGTTTGCCCACAGAGATTGAGAGACAAGACAGGACACAAGGGATTCACAGGTGGTTTGATAGCTGAGACTTTTCCAGCATCCTAACATGGGAAGTTCTTAGGCAGTGGTAGCCCAGGAAATCCACACTCTTTCCTTCAGCTACACTCCCTTCTCATTCCCTAGGAGCCCGTGATACTGGGGTTAGGTGGTTTGGAACAGGGGGAAAAAAAAGATTATACAAGACATAAGTGGAACCAAAAACCCTACATATTAGAAAAGAATTCCTTAAGACTTGACTGCAAGTTAAGACTTGTCCTAGCTGAGCACTTTTCATATCGTTAGACCTGCACAGGGATTTTCCTCTCCCAACCTTTTATATAAACAGCCTCCAGCTCCCTGACTTTGTGAGGAGGGGATTCTGGGCTCTGAGAAGCTCTACAGTCACTGTTGCCAGTTTGATGAGTAGAAAAATGCATTTCCTGAAGCTTTCACAAAGTTTATAAATACATTAATTCTTACATTACATGATATAACTTTGTTTCTTCCCCTCAGCCTCTGAACTGCAAAACAGAAGAAACATTTTGGGAAGAACGTGGGAGGCAGGGCAGAGAAAAGGTTTTCTTCACCCCTGTCCCTGGAACTGCACTTTATCTCGTTCGCTGCCTTGTTTTTTCAGCACCCCTCAAAGCTACAACTTACAGACGAAGGCAAGATGAGACTTTTATACAGCATTTATAGCATGATTGAAAATATAAAGCAGTGCATTCTAGTGCCAAAGCAAAAAGTAGCACGTCACCCACTAAATCTGCAAAACTTACCAGAAATGCTAAAATAAGTTTTCTCTTTGTACTTTCCAGTTTAGAGAAAGGACTTAGTACGGAGTTTAAACCAACCACAGCAGAGTACAATGCAGCTCTTGCAGTTATTTCTGTAGTTCTAGAAATACTCTAGATAGTTTGCAGACAGCTGAGGTTTCAGTCCTAAACCACAAAGGCAAATGCATCATGAACTCTGAGGCATGAGAACAAATAAAAGGCATGAAATCAAGTGACATCTAGCATGCACCACAGGAATTGTGTGTGCCATTTCTTTAGGCTTTTTGGATAGATTAAGTATTTCACTCAGCAATTTTGAGGGGAAAGTCCAAGATTCATTAAAGCCCTTAGGAAGGACTGGCCTACAACAGCAGAGCCATGAGAAGCTGAATGAGAACTGAATGACTTAGGGAAAGTTATTTAATTTTGTCCTTGTGTTACTCTCACAACTGTAATAATGTAATGCAACTGCTCAGCATTCTGTATTTTATACTTTGTGGTAAGCATGCTCAGGGATGTATGACATCCTTAAGTGTTTGCAACAAGCAGCTCTAGAAGCACTTTACTTGTTCATAGCTGCACCCTTCAACTGCAATTTGCTTTATTCAGGTTGCTTTTAGGTGCTTCCAAATGAAACCGCTAGAACAGCTCTGTAACTAGATGGATTTTACTTGGCTGTCCTTACCTAACTCTCAACTATTAACAAGAAATATTTTAGTTAATTGTATGATGCAAGAAGAACCTATCGCTCCTAACTTATTATTTAGGTGTAAAGCTTTTTCCTTACAGAGTTCTGTGTTGCTAGGAATTTTTGAGGCATCTGTTTTCCAAATAGAGCCCACAGCTAGTAAACTGTTTCATCACTAAAATACAAGAAGACAGTCACCATCATCTCATACGTTTAAGAAATTCTAATTCTCATTCTGCTTAGGCTTTAAATTTAATGACTATGTATCAAAGGCATTTTCTAATAATGCAAGTTTTGTGCAATTGAGGGGAAAAAAGTTAGAGGGAAATATCTAATTTTGGACTGTTGATTATCTAGGGGGCTGAAGAATCTATGAGTTCATTTGCTATAGTACCAGATAGATACTAAGCAATGTTAGACTAGGATTTCAATTGTTCATAATACTTTCATCTTATTATGGTATATCTAGTAAAATCAAAGGTCTTCTGAGACAAATCTATGAAATATACCAGCATTTCCATCTTGCTTCTAGAAAATACTTAAGTACTTCCTTATGACACACATAACATATAATTCTGTTTTATCAGACATCTTACTAGCTTTTGTTGTAGAAAATTCAGATTCTTTGGTTTGAGTTTACACAATATTTTGCCCAGGGGGCTAGTTAAGCCAATCCCTCTGCAATTTATTTGAACTCGTCCAACTCTTATTGTACAATCCAGGAAATAAAGCATTTGGCACAAGAACAGATTATAATAAGGAAACCTATCTGATTATAATCTCCAACATTAAAATACTGAGGGGAGAGTCAAGTTTGCCTCAAATGGTTTTGTTACTTCTGTTTCTTGTTCCTTTCTAACATCCCTTCCAGTCTCATGGTTCCTAACCTATACTAGCACATTTTAAAAATTATTACATTGTTGTTCTGCAGGCAATTTCCTCATCAGGATTATTTCTGAGCATTACTCAAAGAATTTTGGTAGATTCTTTTACACCAGCTGCTCATCAGAACCAACTCATTTGATTTGGGCAGTTTACCCCATGAGGTCCCAAGAGCTGACTGATTTGGTTTGTGCTTGAATAAGAGCATGAAGGAATTAAAAAAGGAAAAAAAAAATGAAATGAATCCTCAAGCCCCCCCCAGATCCTAGACTTTCCTGACAATGAACGAGAAAGAAAACTTGAAGCCAGGAGGAACATAAATCTCTATAGTCAGCAGCAGCCACCAAACTAACACAGGAATGTTGACTTTATCTGATCGATTGTTAACAGAAAAAATCTGTGGTTGTTAACAGAAAAATCTGCCCAAGTGACAAACTTGATACATTTATTAACTTTGGCAACATATACATTGATACACCAAAAAAAGGGAAATCTCAAACAAATACAGAAAAAGGGCAACATCTTCAGCTGGTGAAAACTGATGCAGCTCCACTGAAGAAAGCAGAACTGCATTGATTCAAACCATCTGAGGATCACATCTTTTAGAATTTAACCTGCATAGATATTTTGTTTCTTTTCTTTTTGGCAATAATTATAATACAGTTACGCCAGTAAGGCACAAGAGCTAGCCCAAGTTAGGTGTCTAAGGTGGTTATGTCTGGGAGGAGTCACTGACCAAACTAAGCCACATTGTCAGCTGGTGAATCTCCTCAAGTCCACAGGAGTTGCACCTATCTGCAACAATGCCAAGCTTGATCTGTAGGTCACAGTACTGAGGACACACTATAGGATGCAGAAGCTAAAATGTCTAATTTTGGACAACTGAAATGACTACTAAAGAGGCCAGAGCATCAGGTTAAAAGAAAAACAGGACAAAAGTTCTCAGCACAGTGGGGTAGGGTGCAAAGAAGGTAAGAGTGACTGTAGAGACCCCAGAGCACAGTGCTCTCCTCCACTGGTTCACAGCGTTCATCTTCCCCATTTGGCAGTTGTTGGGCTGCAAACAGGACACTGAAAATCAGTAGTTTCAATCATGCACATCATTATGTGTGTAAAACAATCACATTCAGGATTCTACAAAACCCTGGCCTTTTTTTTTTTTCCAGTGAAATAATTTAGGTAATAAATATTCTCCACCCTGGAGCGGTATAAAACTTCTATAAAAATAGAAACAACATTCTTGGTTACAGCAGGTTGCACCTGGAGCAGCTGCTCCCAACTATTTTTTTTCTATTTTTTTCTATTTTTTTTTTTTTTGAAAAGTATATTATTTATAAAAAAAATCCCATTATCACCCTGGAGGCCTTCACACTCCAACACTCTCTTCTCAGAAAACCAGGACACATCTTTCCCGTCGTGCAGAATTCAAGTGTACATGGTTCACTTAAGTGTTTACGTTTCTAGAGAGATCCAAATAATTAACATTGAAGGGTACCACATGCCAGCATAACTGGGAAATTTGGCAGTCTGGCCTTTGAACCTTTGCCACCACAAAATGATCTGTGTTAATACTGACAGATTTACCTGTCTGCCGTCAATGTGGACGGGCATCGACTGTTTGATTTTCAGTTTAACAATGGAAAAGGCTCTTCTTGGATGCTATGGGTCAGGCCTTCTACTTCTGAGGTTTGAGATCCCTGGGAATGCATGACATTCCCAACAGACCACCACGCGTGGGTGCTCAGATTCTGAACATGATCTCAGTCAGGTTTGATGGGTTTAGTGCTCCTCCTGCTGGAGCAGAACAGGCAGTCCAAACCCTACGTCTGACCACACACATTATTTAGCAGCTGGCTCCCAGACAGCAGTGTTTGTTAGCTTATGCCCTGGGAAACAGCATCAACAACTGGGAATACAAAGGAAACAAGGAAGAGGAGAAAATATGAGGTAAATGGAAATTCTGTTAGACACACAGAAATTGTAAACTTCCTCTTGTGACAGAAGTGGATTTTGATGGTTATAACATGGGACTCTACTGATTTCTTAAAACAACTCAGGCCAGAGTGTCAAAAGTCCTCTGAGTCCCCTAAAACCAGTGTATAAGGCCCTTAGCAATGCACTAGAAATTTCAGAAGTGTGCAAAAAAATGTGTTAATTGAAGGGTTGTGTTCAATTTTCCTTCAGTATAAAAGATAACAGTACCAAAATGCAGAATAAGACTGCAGTGTCTCAATGCTCTGCTCTGGTTCCACAGCATGGGTGTTAGCCCTGTTTAGCACTGGTACACACCACCTTAAAGGAAAACTGCAGTATAAAGAAATACCTAATTACTAGACTAATTCACTGCACAAATTAGTTGCTTTTTCTTTTAAATAGGCAATTATCTTTGCAACAGAAAGACTGAGAAAGCAAATCCTGTAAGAACACGTATGAAGCAGGAGCCTCAAGAGCTGTTTCAGGGTAACTCTGGGCTTTGTATCTCAATTTAACAGTCATTTTAATAGAGAAACAAACAGCACGTATTATGCTTATCAGAATGAATTCCAAGTAATACTCTGCAACAAGGACGTTACTCCACAGAAATGGAGAATGCGATGAACTGTTAGGAAAAAGAAAATGGCAAAAAAATCTGCAGGTTATCAGGGATTAAAAGTTTCCTGTTTCCAGCCCCAGATGTATTCATCTAGACTCTCTAACTTATGTCTCTCTAAACCTAGCTAATTATAAAGGATAAGTTTTCTTAAATAGGGAGAAATTCACTGCATCTCATTAATATTCAACTGTAAATAGTGAAGTTTTCTGGGCAGAGACATTAACTAATAATTTTATAAAGTGCTGTGTACATTCACAGTGCTACATACACACTACTTTATATACAAGAAAACAAACAAACAGAGCTGCAGTTTTCCTTTGGCTTGTTAATGCGTTCACCCTTCCAATCTGTCTCCTGCTTTAGAGATGATTTATTAATTCCCCACCATGGCATACAGTTAAGGAAGCATAAAAGAGTGGGTGTGGCATGACAGAGGCTATTTGGAGTTGGTTCGTTGCTCACCCAAACTTGGATGGACTAAGTTCTCCTTCCCCATCTTTGTTTCCATCAGCTGTTCAGTGTTATTTCTGCTTTCCCCTCTCCTCTCCCCATGGCAGTGTGGTGTCAGTTCTGCTTCCCCTTCTCCTCTCTACCCCAAGGCAGTGTGGTGTCAGTTTCCGCGGCTCCCTTTAACCTTACCTCCCGACCCCCAAGGAGCTGGCATTGGTCCTTCTCAACACACACTGGTTACAAACACAGCAAACTTCAAATAAGGGAAAAAAAAAAAAAACGAAAAAAAAAAACAACCTCAGCGATATGGCACCTAAACTCCAAAGTAAAACACTGGAAACAAAAGCACAAACTTGTCCTCCATTCGAAGCAGGATTCTCAGCAGAGGCTGCAGCCGAGTCTTCAGGGGAAGATGTGCCAGATAGAACGGCATGGATCAGCTTCCAGGACTGTAAAAACACAGCCTTAGGGCTTCGAATCACTAAGTGCGCTCCTCTCCAACTTACCAGAAGATCCTTCTCACTCCAGTCCCGGAGGGGAGGGGCGCTCAGTATGGCTTGCTGTCATTCTTAGAGCGCTTGAGCTGTACTTTCAGACGCTTCATGCCAATCTGAAAGCCGTTCATTGACTGAATGGCAGCCTGTGCAGAGACAGGATTGTCGTAACTTACAAAACCTGAAGAAAAGGAAATACGTTATTATTGCATGCCAAAGTTGTAGAACAGCTACTCACAAGGTATGAGAAGCTTGCATGAAATGCAATTTACAAAAGCTCACAACTGTTTAGTAAGAAGTTTTTAGGAATACTCTAAGGGCTCTCAGACGAAGATTTGTTTTCTGATGTACGGAACTTCGGTCAAAAGATAAACACAACTCAGGAAATTGAAATAATATTTTTTGTCAGGAAAAAAAGAGTACTTATGTTTGTTCTGTAACATCTTACAGCTGGGAGAACAACAAACCTGGAAAACGTCAATCTATCCAAGTTCAGTAAAGATAGAGGACTGAAAGCACCGTCACACGCAAGTGGCACTTAAGGGACATGGTTTAGTGGTGGACTTGGTAGTATTAAGATCAAGTCCAACCATGGCCTTAAGGATCTTTTCCAACCTAAATGATTCTATGATCTTGGAATTATAGGAGTAGGTTTGTTTGGAGTGAAGTAGCTGTTAAGACAGGTTAAGTTTTTGTCTTATGAAAAGTTGTGTATCATTCCAGGAGAAGAGCATCCTCTAAATAAAGATCCCAAGGTTTTTGAAGAAACCTACTACTTTAAATAACTCTAGTCAATGGTTGGTATCACTGCCTGGGGAGATCATTCCATATGCAGGTGTTACAGCCTGACGCTCAGCATATTTTTTGCTGTCGTCTTTGTTTTGTTTTCACATGGCAAAAGCTTTTACACATCTTTTAGACCATCAAAATACTAAAAAAAAACACATGGTATTATGAAGGCACAATACTATGGAAACCATAAAGATTCATCTCTCCTATTCACAGTCAGAAGAGCTTACAGCACTACAAAAATTCTACCACTGCTCTCTCTCTGTTGTTTTCAAAGTGGTGAAAAATGAAACCATTGAGTTGTGCAGTCCACATGCACAGTCTTCTGCTTCACAAGCTAAAGAAGAATACGTCCTTTGCTCACAACACAGACTTTAGCAGTTAACTGAAAATAATCGATTTGAATAGTAAAAATAGCATGACACGATTTATATTTTTTGTTTAAATTTCTTGCCCTGATGCATCTCCAATCTAAACACGCACTAATTAAAAGAAAATTAGGGTAAGGAATGCAACCAAATTTAGGTAGTACATAAGAGCTGAAATAGTTCTTCAGTTACCAAGGTTTCAAGTATTAGGAGGAAGCTTTAAAAAATGCCTTCAAAACATTTATAGAGCATGAGAGTTCAGTGCTCCCATAATGTATTGTACCTTTCATAAAAATAGAAATAATTCATAATGATTATGTAGTAACATACATAGCAACATAAACAGTTCTTGAAAAGAGAAAGGAGGGAGAGAAGGAGCTGTACCAAAGTAGACATAACAATATGCTGGAAAAGATTACTAGAAAGAAGCCACCCCTCTACAGATAGACCCAACGTACCAAAACACTTGCTTAGATTGGTCTGCTTATCAATGAAAACCTTGGCAGAGACGACATTTCCAAATGGCATGAACATCTGAAGAAGATCCTGATCCCCAAACTCCTGGGGGAGATGGTAGATAAACAGATTGGCTCCCTCTGGACCTTTAAACAACAAGTAGGAATATAAACTCAGAAAAAGAATAAATAACGTAGGCCTACTTCACAAAAAAAAAAAAGTGAAAGAGACATTCAAGTCAAATCTTCTAGAGAAAACAATGACATTGCTGTATGCACTTCTATAGAGTACTTGATTCCAGAATAAATCAACCTGAGCCTTTGCTGAGACGGGGCATTCATGTAATTCTAGCTCTTTCTCCACCATTTTTGTTCGCAATTTCCACATCCTATGAAAACTGGTTCACAGATCCTAGTCATAACAAAAGCTGAACAATAAACTTGAGCTTATTTTGTTGCCAAAAGAAACTACGTAGATCTCAACAGAAACAAAGTAATCAGATTACTTGTAATCTTACATTCTTTCCTAATCATCATCCTACATTCTGCTGAAAATTTACTCCTATATTCTTCTTTTACACTACGTGTTAAATTGATTCAGAAAAAGAGTGAAGAGATCAGCAATAAGGATCTGAGGGAAGAGATGAAGAACAAAGACACTGGAGTTCACATTTAGAAATACCAAGGAAATAAATTTAAAAAACTGATATACTGAAATAAACTGAAATACTGATATACTGATAAACTGAAATAAATTAAAAAACCTGATTCTCTGACAATGGGATTTGTCAGGCTGAGGACCCATACCCTCCCCTAAGAAAAAGGATGGACACTATTACTAAGCATTTAAGGCTTGTTAAATACTACTAAATACTAAACACTGTCTGTATAAAAAACTACTTTGGACAGCCCTTAGAGGGACCTCCAAGGCTTTCCTTCCTTCCCCCCCCCCCCCCAATAACCATTATTCTAAGCAATGCCATGAAATTAAAGCTCTGCACATAGGGTAAGTCACTGGGGAGACCTCATTGCAGCTTTTCAATACTTACAGGTCGCTTTAATACTTAAAGTATTAAGATGGAGAACAACTTTTTGCTCAGATAGACAATGACAGGACAAGGGGGAAGGAATGTTTTTTAACTGAGAGGGGAGATTTAATTAGACATTACAAGGAAATGCTTCACTCAGAGGGCGGTGAGGCACTGGAACAGGTTACCCAGAGAAGTAATGGATGCCCCATCCCTGAAAGCAATCAGGACCAAAATGGGAGAAGCCCTGAGCAACCTGATCTGGCAGGTGGCATCCCTGCCCACAGCAGGGGAGCTGGAGTTAGATGATCTTTGAGGTTCCTTCCAACCCAAGCCAATCCATGATTCTATGAAGGTAGCTTCAAGGGTTGGTCTTGCCTTTTTAAGAAGTCCTCTTGAGTTGTACAACTTTCTGCCTACCTTCTTTTTGACTTCCTGCTGCACCAATACTTTGTTGTGTTAAGAGACTCTGGTTATAGAGCGTGGGCAATGCAGCAGCAGCATATTGCTGGATTCCAGAATAAGCCTGCGTGAGGGCTTCCATTGTGCTACCTGTCCCATTTGAGAGACCACCACTGCCAAGTCCTCCATTTAAGGCTGCCATTCCTGTATAAGAAAGAGGAAGTAAAGATGACTAAGCAGTGCCATCAAGTCAAAACAATTATCTTTCAATACTCCACACTACTATAAGAAGAAAAGGAACATGATAAAAGAGAACTAGCGCAACTTGAGGAGTAGTAATCAGCTATTCCCTCAGCCCACCACAACACACAGCTTACCTGCTAGAGAGCTAACGTTCAGGCCTGCTGTAGCCCCTGCCAGTGTCTGCAGTGCTCCAAGAGAAGCCATGGGATTAACAGAGGAGCTGCTACTGGAGCTAGGTGAGGAACCTGCTATTAAAATAAGATAATTAATCTCCAAACAATACTTCTTGGTTCTGAAAACTCAACTTCTTCATTAAATCATTTCTGCAAGAAAAGCTAGCACGCAACAGACTAAAGCAAAAGAGAAGACTCTGTCAATAAAGCCGCCCTAAGCCCACACAACTTGATCACACCACTTGCATCTAACCCCTTCCTAGGTTTTGGAAAAAATTCTGCTTCCTAACAACATCCACTTTTTGCAACAGTAATAATTTAATCAAGTGTAAGGCATTCAATCAAAATACGATCATCAGCTAAATTTTGTATCTCAGTCAAAGTAACTAGCAGCAATGCTTATTACTGCTGCCTGAAATGAGTAAGAATTGCTATATATTAACATCAAACCTTGACACACCACATAAGGTGAAAAAGACCTGACACACAGATATTAGCAACATTAAAGAAAACTCCAGTCAGACTGAACATATGGTTTTCCCATACCACCAGAGCAGAAACAGCAGATGCTCAAATTATTCTGACACATTAAATAATTTTCCATTAAAAAAATCCTACTGCAGCAGCTGGGGCTATGGCCAAGAAAAGATTTGGAACACAGACCTAAAATATAGAGCCAATCCTCTGTTGACTGTACCACTAACACCTTCAACCATTTTTACCTCAGTAAGTAAAGTCTACAGATGCAGTCCCTAGCAGACTGCTGACTTACATTGCCTGCCACGTTCTGCAATAGGTAGAGTTAGAACTGAAAACTGGAGCAGTAAAAGCATCTCATAGTCCTTTGAGAGGAATTTGTATCTGTGTGGGTAACAGAACTTATGTCAAAGTTCTCAAGTCAAACATAAAAACTTATATCAAGTAGCTAACAAAGGAATCGAAATTCAAGCATTTTCAGTTTCCTTCTCATTTTTTGTAATTCTCAGTATGCAGCATTTATCCATTAAAACTTTGAAAATAATTGTTATCGTCTTTCAAGCAGATTTATATACACTACATATCCATCAATTTATACATGTTTCACAATGTCTCTGGAGTGGAATGTGGTTAACCGTTTAAATGGGGTACTGCAAACTTACCTAACAAGCCACGGCAAAAGCGTGCTCTTGTACCCAATGAAAACTGCATGAGAACCCAGGGAGCTGCACTTTGTATTACAGTTCACTTTTTGTGCTGACAGAGGAAAGGACAAACCTACTCTGTGAAAAGTTCTAGACAAACTCTTAACAAGTCAGAAATTGAAAGACAATGTCTAGAAGACATTGATAAGCTGTATTTCAAGATGCTAACTCCAAAGAAAATAAGACACTTCCTGTCTTACTGTCAGTAGCATATTAAATGTTGTAAAAAAAATAAAATACAGAGAACAAGTTAGAGTAATTCTCAAGTTGGTAGAAAAACAGAACAGCTGGCTGAATAAAAGCCAGCATTCAGAAATGATACAGCTGCCTTGATTTTAGAGTATCACTTGTTTCTGCAGCACTTCATTGCTAATCTCCATAATTCAAGCAGACACTTCATTTGACAGATGAGAACACTATTTCAAAAGAAAAGAACAAGTAGCAGCATGGGAAAAAAAGAATAGAGCCAAGGCTAGAGAGCAAAGTAAAAGAGAATGGATCCTTTCCCAACTTCAAAAAGGTTGTGATTTTAAATCAATTAATTTAAACCACTGCAAAAAGCTGAACACAGTTATTTTAGTTTAGCTAGCTTAACAGACATCTGTTTAAGCAAAACAAGAAAATCTTTAATATGAGATAATTTGGCTTGAAAACACCAAGAAAATTTAATACTTGCATTTTTTTTAATCACATGTATATACCAATTGCTGCACTGAGTCAGCAAAGCACATTCTAATGATGACAGAAGGTATATAAATAATAGATGAGCAAAAATACATGGCAATTACAAAACAATACTTCTTAGGTATGGTCTCATAGCTTCCAGCAATCTGTGGCTCTAAGACTTGTTCAGTCAATGGCAACATCTTTGCATTTAAGTTATGATTTTCACTCATTAATTACAGTGCATTTTGAACACAATTTATTTTTTTGTACTGTACTATATTCTGAGCCACTGACTTCTGCCACTTAGTGCATGCACTATGCAAAGGAATACATCTTTTCATTTTTGAGCTGTCAGCTCGTAACTTCAGTTGATATCCTGTAATTCTCGTCTTGGAAGATCTAGTGGCCAGTCTATCCCAATTCATCTTTATCACACCACTAATACATTTGTAGGCTTCTGTCATATCCAACTCCTACATAAGTTTCCCCCTAGTTGCACTGAATAGGGAAAGAATTCTGCAGTTCTAGTCATTCTCTCTTTTTTTCTGTTTTTGTAGTTCTCATATATTATTTTAGATTTGAAAACAGCCCACAGCAATAGAAATGGAAAACCAATATAGGTTTATACATGTGCTTTACTCCATTCCTATCCCTAACATTATTTCTCTATTTTGTTGCTGTTGTTTATTTCCTTCTTGCTTACTACTGAGTATATTTTTTTGAATCAGTCTACTGAATTATACTTAACTAAAAAAGCTAACTGTAAGATTGTTAACTGAAGGAACTAAGGGTTTTCAGAAATTTTTAACAGGTAGTAAAGAATAGCTAGCAAAGACAAAACTAGTATAAGAACATCAACCATCTTGTTAAAGTGGGTCTAGGTATGGTTCAAGAGGGATGCTCTGAATACTGTGGAGTTTTAACAATATTCCATGTGAATACAATGTGAATGCACATACAAATATTAATCAAAAGACAATTATAAGTTTGATTTTTTAAGAGATAATAGCTAATTCAGAGTGAAAAGCCACCATGCTTTGTAATTATGAGAAGTACCATGAGACTGAATGCTGTCTATATACACTGAGACTTTCTTTTCAATTTACATAGTTTCAAAATGTGAAGAATATTAATAGCTTTAATGAAAAGCCCCTGAAATGGTTTAAGAGTTTGATTGCTCATTGACTACATATAGACCATATATCCTCCAAATTTCATTTTTGAACTTCTTTTGAACAAAGATAATCTCTAGTTTTTACAATTATACTTGAAATTATGTTTTAAGAGCAATACAATAGTGACTGCTTCATATTAGAAGCCTGTGAAGAGTATACTACTACATGTGGATAGGATATTAATTCAAGCGACACATCACAATCACTCAACTGGTGACACACAAGCATTTATTGATGCAGCTGGCCATCAAAAAGTTGTTTGGATTCAGCACAGGTGGTACTTAAAAATTGACTGCTGTTCCCCACCCCTAGCTCTCCACCAGTGTGACCAAAAGGGGAACCCAGTCCTAAGATGTCTCTCTCTGAAGGAAATGACACCTGCAGGGTGCTGTGTGACTGCTGAAATCCACAGAAGGGAAAGCAGTCCCAAAGAATCAGAAATTACAGCATAACTTCAGTTAAAAGGGACCTTTGTGGATTATATAGCCCAACTGTCTGCTCAAACCTGGTCTAACCTCCCATTTAGCTAAGCCTCTTCAAGGACCTTTCAAACTGAATTCTGAACTTCTTCTAAACTGATGGAAATTCTACAGCTACACTGACAACTGGTTCTTGTGCTTAATGACTTTAACCGTGTTTTTCTTTTACGACCAGATTTTTCTCTGCTGCAGTTTGTGTTCACTGTCCTTGTCCTTCCACTGTACACTTCTTCCAAGAAGAAGCTGGCTCTACCTTTTCTAGTATGCCTGACCCTAACGTCAAAACCTGCCTACCAGTCCCCTTGCCCACCTCAACAGATAGAACAAACTTGCTGCAGTCAGTAAGTGACAGAGCCAACAAGGAAAGTTTGGTTCTAAACATCAGGCATAGCCAATTATAACCTGGCAATTCCAGCACTGCTACTGCATGAAGAGATATGGGAGAAATTCTCAGTTACATTCACTTCCATGCTTTCTCTACAATGAAGCAGTAGTAATGGACTGTAAATGTAGCTCTTCTACAGCCTCAACTCTGTGGTGTTTTTTTTTGTTGTTGTGTGGTTGTTTGTTTCTTTCTTAATTACAAAATAGGATACCATAGCTGGTACCCAAGATAAATTCTGAAACTTTATTTCGAAAATTTATCTTCAAGGACTGCAGACCACCAAGTTTTTATATTAAAAAACAAACAAACAAAAAAAAACCACTGCCTGTATACCAACAGAAGACTCAGCTGAATTCTCTCTCAGGAATTTCTCTAAGTAGAAAACTGCGCAAAACACCCAGAGCTTAACTCCTGATCATGTGACCTAAGGTCTTCTAAACAGCTTTCCCTTATAATCTCCTTATCATCCATCTCTTCACCTAGTTCCTTGGTCTTCCTACGTAATACAAAAAGCTACCTGTGGCAGTCTAAAACACCCCCATAAGCACCTCCTTTGGAGTCTCACAATTACATGTGAGGTTGTCAACTTTGTAGGCTGTATTTCAGAACTAGATAAGCAATCTGGATTTTTATGAAGAAATAAACCTACATATCACTCTATACATGCTGGAAAACCGACACTCTAAAAATACAGTGCCTCTCTTCCCATGTCAGGATTTAGACATAACTGAAAATAGGATAGAAATATAATTGAGTAGGATTCTGACCCACATTTGCGGTAGAAGTTTATCATGTCTGATGTGAGCAAAGGTTTTTTTTTTTTATTTGTTGTAAATAATAATCACATTTAACAATAAGGTGGCAAAAGAACACTGTTCAGACATCCTAGTCTCTCTGGATAACGTACATGACCTAAGGAAAAAAAACAAATAGAATGGAAGAGCAAGATACTGATTTTTGATGTGTAACTGATAAAATCAGTTCCAGACAACCTCTTTCCAATAAGTGTTCTATCAAACTGTGTATTTTGCTTCTGTGAGGCAGCTGTAGTATCCTTTTCAGTAATGCCAGAGGAACATAAAGCTGTCTTTCCTACTGCACAGAATGCATTACCTCCTGCTTAAAGCATCCTATGCTCCCCATGTCCACAGGAAGAGGGTACATCTGCTACATACCTGTCTGAATTCACTGAGAAACTACAGACGTGATGAGACTGTAGTAAAATTACTGGAAAGAGATCACCTACCTTTCTGCTTCATGATAACCTTAAAAATCCTTTTTACTCTAAATTAAACTTACCAAGAATACAGTCAGTTAAAAAAAAAACAAAAAACAAAAAACACACACACACTTTGCTGGTGACAAAGATACCTACCCTAAACAACCACCAGTAAATTTACAGGAAAAACTCCTTATCTGTTAAAGAACTGACATGACAGAGATGAACAGAACAGATGACATTTATCCTGGAAAGACTCCCAGAGCAACCCATGCCATAACACACTACAACACAGGCAGTCTCTTACCTGAGCTGGTGAGCACACTCAGGGGACTGCTGGAGGAAGTGAGTGCAGCGGTGCCACTTGGTGTATTCTGAGCTGCACTGGCTGCAGCTGCTAATGCAGCCAGGTTCTGCAACTGCATCGCATTCAGTCCTGCAACACATTGAAGAATACACAGAGTTTCTCCTACAATAGCCACCATCATCCAAAACTAACAAATCCAGTAACCTCAGCACATCATAATGGGATTTGTGGTAATGGGCAGGAGTTTAAAAACAGACTTCAGTACTAGTTACCGATCTCTTCTACATTGTGATTCCTTGTTACAACTAAAATGAAATGTAATTTTTGCCCAGAAGGATGATTTCCCTAAAAGACCAAGTAGTCACAATCCCAGATGTAGACTCCAGAGCACAGACATTTTCAGGCAGTGTTATGTTCAGTCATAAAAGCATAGCAGTTTTAACTGCTATGGACAGTTAAAACAGGGTGTAACAGCTCATCTGCAAGCCAGAGAACTTGTCTATACACCAGGCTAATAACCTCATCTTGTCTCATATCCCTCTCCTCTCTACATGGGAGCAGCAACAACTGCAGAATTCTTTCAAGAAGGCCTACACAACACAGTAGCCAGCGTCATACCTTTAAACTGCCATCAGCTGAATATCAGCATGCTTTGTCTGGTCTCCTTGGCAGACAAGAAGCAACAATAAATTGTAAAACAATGTTGAGTGGCAAAATTCCTGACCACAAAATCACCTACTGTATGCACAGGCTAGCCAGCTGGTCAAACAAAAGTGGTAAGGAAAATGGAAAACATCAGGCAGGTTGTAGGTAAACTGCCAGGAATACCAGTGGGAGGAAGAAGAGACGATGAACTTTTACTGGTCATTTATTCATCTGACTCATCTTCATTTTGCGTTATAATTTAACCTTCAGCAGGCTAGCTCCAATCTTCCATTTCTGCTTCTCTTCCCTTTCCCTTATTTCCCTTTCACATCTCCACAAGAAATTTTAATTGTCATCATTCATGTAACATTATCCAAATGTCTTAAGTAGATCCAGCTCCTCATCTTTTGGAAGATGAGTACTTGGTGATAATGCACACCTACCAATTAAAGTCTCAGTTTTGCACTTTAAGAATGCAAACACAACATAAGAATGTAAATGGCAGTGCAGCATAAACTGTTCGTTCTCTAAGTAGCTTCTACTGCTTTTAGTATTATTTTTTTTTCCTCTTTTTGTTCTCCCTCCTCTAATTGTTCTCTCTTTGTGATCAGGTCTGTATCTTTAATCATATTTAGTGCCCCAAACATGAGGATCCTGATATTGTTTATATTCTTTAAGGTGCAATTGTAACATAAAAGTATGAAGTTAAAACCTAAAAGGTTTTTTGTTGTTGTTGTTATTGTGCTACAGAGGGTTAAAACTGCAAGTGTTAGAGCTTGTGAAGAACAGAGCAGCTTGCTTCCTTTCTGAAGCAGTTTGGCATGTACATGCTGCACCTGTTTTCTTGTCATCACATTGTTTTCCCATCTGCTTTCAAATAGGGTCAAGATTAAATTTTGTCTATAAGCCTAATACAGAGTGGGATCTAATTACCTGCTTATTTTTCTAAGAATATCAGGAAAGGCAATCAAGTAAGATATTAATGGGACTTTGAAACAAACTCTTCCTGTGTAGAGCCATAGACTTGGAATAATTCTTTCAAAACACAATGAAACATGCTACTTAGATGCTAGGGTTCTCATTTTATTTATTTTTTTAAAAACATATGGCAAAGTCAGAATTACCCTGAAAATTCCATACACAACCTTACCTATCTGGGCCACCCTAACATCCCTATTGTTGTGACAATAAATACAAACTGCTATACTATTTTTCCCCTTTATCACCGACTGCTTTTTTAAACAGAAGCAATAAGTGAAAAAATGTCACAAAATCTATTTACATCACCACCAAACAGGTGTTAGTGAAACTAAACTTGCTTTTAGCGAAACTCCAGAATCCAAGAACTCTGAAGAGGTTGAACATGGAAAAAAAAAATACACCTAAGAAGCTAAGGTTAGAATAAGTCTCAAGAAAACAACAAAGTTATTAGAATGGACAACACAACACTTGTAAAAGCTCGCAATTGTTGCTGGCGGATGTACCAGCACAAGTCAGATGTACAACGAGACTTTACTTTTTAATACTTTAAGGTCAACCTCTGCACAGACAGGGCACGTAATATTATTAACTACTGGACAACTCAAAGAGGCAATTTTAAAAGCATTAAATGTTCAGTATTAAAACCAAAACTATAGGTTCTCTGTCACCAGAAAAATTTAGAGGAAGTGATGAATAGAGTTACTAACATGGGTTTTATTATTCGCCATCCTCTGAAGACAGAAAGCGCAATTAATTTGCAGCCTCAGTTCAGAAACTTTTACATTATCTCCATAACCCTAAAGGATACTTCAGATAACTTCACTTACGTTTTGACTAGCAATCAACAGCAAGGAATTTGGCTTATATCTGTTAAGCTGATACTCCCACATCACAGCAATATTGTAAGTAATTGTAAAACAAATGCAGGAATTAAAGAACCAGAATGAAGGACTGGTTCACATTACTTGCAACAATACATTTTCAACTTTGAGGCATTTAAAAAGAAATAATTTAAAATATGAGACCTAAACAATTAAACATATGCACTAGTGCTTATTTCAAAACCACGGTGCTTCAAATACGCATCTGTTTGGATGAAAATAAACAGTGTTTTTTTTGTATCCATAAGGGAAGATAATTCTAAATGCCAGAGGTAGGGGAGATAAACAGGATACCACAACTTACCTTGGAGAAAACAATTAAGATTAAGAAGGAACATGCACAAATTTAGCAGAGAATTTCTGTCATTCCACAGGAATGGGTAAACTCAGGACTACTTACTACAACTGCAATATGTCTACAAGCCTTTTGGCTACTTTCTCTACCTGCCTTTTTTTGGGGGGGGCTACAGAATTTGTCTTCTGGTGGAAAAAACTCACCTCCCATTGGGTGGAGGCTGCTCAATGTGTTCAGGTTTCCAGATGAGGCAGCTGCTGTCTGCTGAAGGAGCTGCAAATAAAGCTAGACATTACACCAAAAAACAAAACAAGAGTGAGAGTGAGGGCTGGCTCCGCTTCTGGGAGAAACTGCATCACACCACAGCCAGAGCGCCGTCACAAAGGGAATTCCCCCTGCCCATGCACCAAATCACAGCAAAGCGTAAAAAGAATTCCTCTTCAAAAATACAGCCAGAGCACCACCAGAGTGAAAATCAATGTTGCCCATGCACCGCATTGCAGCCAAAGCAACACCACAATGCTTTTCCCACTCAGGACAGTCAGTATACTAGCCTAAGTGAAGTCTGTATCTAATGCACCAAGACAAAAACAGAATCAGTAATGAGACAGAACACCTATTCAAAGCACCTCAGGCAGGACTGCTACCCATAAGGATATTTTACCTCAAGCCGGACTTTACAGCTGACATTACCAGCACAGGACAAATGGCAAATGCCATACCAAAAATCAAAGAGCCACTGTGAGAGGTGATCTCCTCCACATTTCTTAAGCACAGCAGCCATGAGAAATTCCAAGCCTCTGCTAGGAAGCTATTTAGAGAGGTTTCCTACTACTCTTTTCTCCCTTAACCACATGTTGTTAAAAAAAAAATATTTCAATCTACCAAACTTAAAGCAGAAGTAAAAGAAAGAATGTCCCCACTTCAGTAGTACACTATACCAAGAATGAGATGAAGTTTTCCTTTTCTATTCCCCAAATTGCATGAAAACAGTTCTCATAGCTATGTGGTAATCCACATGAGCCAGAGCACACCAGTTTATGAAAGTTCACCCTCTAGGGACCCAGCAAAACCAAATGAAACCAGTGACAAACTGTAGACTACCTTCTTGAGTCATTTTTGATAGAGAAGAGTAGTTTCTGTCTATCTTCTGGTGTGTTTTTATTTTTGTTGTTGTTTTGTTTAGTGTACACTGTGAGCTGCTTCCACCTGCTCACCTTTTCTATTTGCTCATCACCAAGTACTAGCCTATGTCTCACTGGAAGGGGGTGAAAGGAATGCTGGCTAAAGAACAATGAAACAGGAATTCTTCTGCCATTCTGCAGAAGACAAAAAAAATGTTTCAGCACTTAGCGCTAGGGAGACTGGGGCAGAAATCCTCGCTTAAATGCATCCTGACTAGCTGTTAGCACATAACAATTTCCTGTAATTCAGCCTCCTCATCCACAAAATGGGGATTACAAGCCCTACTTCTATTTATCAGGAGCCTTCTAAACATGAATACATTGAGCATTACAAAACAATCAGACACTGCAATCCCTGAAGAGATGAAAAGAACTCAGATGAGAAACTCACTGCTAAGTATTGGGGTCCAAGTGTGTTGAGACCAGCCAGGTTTCCCCATACTGAGGCAGCACTGATCTGTTGCATTTGTTGCTGGAGTTGCTGAGCAATTCGTTTTTGCTCTTTGTCCTTTTGTGTGTCTGCAAATTTTACCACAATGGGAGAAGAGCAACCCTGCAAATAGCAATTCAAACAATTACACACTTGCTATCCTCCAGTTATCAGAAACTACTGCATTAAGACCCAGTCATTAGAAGCATTTCTGACACCCTCCCCATACATATATATAATCAAACAATGCATTTTATTAAAGGTTCAAAATCTCATTTGATTTTCATTCCATTTTATATTTTGGTATTTTCTCTGCAGGTGAGGTTTCTATCTTGAGCTCTAGGAGGAGAGCAAACAATGTCCTCTCCCCGCTCTCTAGTCCCCCCCAGACTCCACAGTAACTATTTTCTCCTGATATTCGCTAACTTGCTTTACCTCCATGGTTTGTGCTTGGTGCATTGCTTTGATTGCTGTTTGTGCCATGGCTCTTGTTGTAAAAGTCACAAATGCACAACCTGGGGAAAGAATGCAGAAGGAAACAAGTCACTCACTTTATCAGCAATTACCGGGATGAATAAAGCAATGAATATACCTTTAAAAAAAAAAAATCACTGAAATAGCTGAAATGCCACCTTGAGCTACAAAAGGTAGCATCACCTTTTGGAGAATCTTGAACTGTCAGAAAAATTCCTGCTTACCTCGGCTCAGGCCATCGGGGCCCCGTAATATCCTGCATTCTTCAATCTGCCCAAAGGGGGAGAACATCACTCGGATATCGTTTTCATTGCACTTCTTGGATATCATTCCAATAAACAACTTCCTATCTTCTACTGCTAAGAAATTAAAGGATGAGAGTATTACCAACAAAAACATACTTACTACATCTTATTTTGTCAAACATTCTCCATCAGCCATAGAATTACTTTCCTTCTATTTTGGGGTAGATGCTTGTTAAAAAACAACTCTTAATAATGCAATCTCTTTGTTTTAGGAAGATGTATATGTGACACCTCAATGAACCTGAAGGATGCCTGTTTTATAATCTTTTTATGTTTATATTTTACTGTCTGTTTCTCCCTTGCAAGCCCGTGAGCTACAAGAATGTTAAAAAACCCTCCTGGCTTCAGTTAGGATATAGTTAATTTTCCTTCTAGTAGCTGGTAGGGTGCTGTGTTTTGGATTAGGATGAGAAGAGTGCTGATAACACGCTGATGTTTTAATTGCTGCAGAACAGTGCTTACACCAAGCCAAGGACGTCTCAGCTTCTCACTCTGTCCTGCCAGCAGGCAGGCTGGGGGAGCAGCAGGAGCTGGGAGGGGACAGACCCAGGACAGCTGACCCAAAGTGGCCAAAGGGGTATTCCATCCCATCTAGGGTTATGCTGAACATTATATAGGGGTGGCTAGCTGGGGTGGGGGGGGCCAGCTGCTCGGGGTTAGGTTGGGCATCGGTCAGCGGGTGATGAGCAATTGCATTGTGCATCACTTGTTTGTACACATTATTATTAGTAGTACTGTTATCATCATTATTGTTATTATTATTATTATTCCTGTCTTAATAAACTGTCTTTATCTCAACTCACAGGCTTCACTTTCCCATTTCTCTCCCCTATCCCAGAGAGGGAGGGCGGAGGGTAAGCAAACAGCTGTGTGGTGTTCAGCTGCTGGCCGGTTAAACCACAACAACAAAAAAACAAAAAACCAAAAAATGCATCAGATTCAGCAGCACTTCCCATATCTCCTACATTTAGTTCCTGGTTAGCAAGAGAAGAGTTGTGTCTATTTTACTGGACTATTTTCATCCTCTCATCTGTCCATTCTATCTTTAGATGGCCAACATACCTCACCAGTGTCTAAACAGGCAAGTTAGTCACAAAAGGATTCTCTCTAGCTCATTAGATTGGTGTGATAGGGGGCCAATCACGTAAATTTACTTCTGCCTATTTCCTCATGCTCCTGTCTCAACAGCAGAAGCAACACCTGTTGTTTAATTCTGTTTCACAGTCATCCATTCTGATCTGTACCAAAGGCAAGAAAATGACGCATCCAAACTGATCCATCTGCTATTGTATCTTTCCTCTAAATGCTGACACTACCAGATAGATTAGTGTTGAAGAAAAACCCCTAGTGTGTGGACTATTTTAAAATAAATGGTGCAGAAACAGACATTTCTCTTAATTTGCCAGTTGGTGGTTACTAATATCAGAACTTTAAACCTCTCATTTTATTTATCTGAGGATTAAAATTACCTCGAAAATACTCACTTTTAAGTGATGAAGCAAATTAATCAGAATGCCACTTGGACATTTAAAACAGTTTGCAAATAAACATCCAACACAATATAACATGACGAAGGCATGAAGCACAATTTGAAGCTTTGGGACAGAAAGTCTTCTCCTATTTAGTGCCATGGTGAGGGGAAATCAATTTCTTTGCTGACTCTTCCTTGGAGCTGACAAGGAAAACTCCAAACCTTTCCAGCTGACAAGTTTTAACTGACTAGTAAATCTTGATGTTGTACCCAGTTCACTGTCAAGCTCTTGGAGCATAAAACTGCCTTCAAATCCTTTTTGTACTCCATTTTAGTTTAAGAGTTCCATAATTTATTTTAATGTCAAGTTAAAATACTTTAACTGATGCTTTCCTATTTATATACTCACCTTCACCCTGTACTAAAATTCATGTTATAGCCTCAGAGCTGTCACCTTAAAATTTCATTAAATACACCTTCCACTTTCCATTATTCTTCCAAGAAACACACACATCTGTGTGTGTGTGTATATATACGTATTTGAGTGTGTACATAAACTCATCATTGAAATGCACAGATAAATCATTTAAGCAATGTTAGATGTTTAACATCTTAATCTGAAATAGCCAATGTGTAGAAGTATGCTCACAGTATTTTCTCTGATGGTCTGTTTTTGAATTCTCACTCTTCCTTGTATACTACAAGGTAAAGTTTTGGACTCCCACCCTAACCACAACAGGCTTTCAGATTAGTCAAACACCTGAAAAGCATTTCTGGATTTCAAACACCTTAGTACAAACAAGAACTCACTGGATGTTTCCCCAACTGACACCATGGTTTTCCCCAGAAGCAGCAACAGTGGAAGATACTTAGTCATGAAATTTTAGAGAGCTCACTTACAATACCTACTGTACTGAAAACATGCCTTTTTTTTTTTTGTATAATTAGGTCTCCAGTTCAATATGACTCGATCAGAAGCTGTTCAACAGAAGCTGAAATTTCCCTATTAGCATGAATAGCGCCACAAGTCTCAGACTTTAGTACAGCTTACCATTATTCTTTTCACTGTCAGCTGGTTTCATCTGGATAGGATGGTGCATCTGAAATTCAAAAATACTATTTAATCCCAGATGTGTTTGCTTCATGCTACATGAAATATATTCCCAGAATAATAGTGGAAGAAAGAGACGGTAGCCTGAATTGTCTCTACAGAAAGGTATAAGTAACAATACATAAATTTCTGGAAGAAAGAAAAGCTTTCCAAATGATACACCATCATTCCTCCTGAGAAAGTACTTTTATAGAAACCATGCCCACACACTTCACTACCATATTATTCCTCAAAATACTCCAAATTTCCTTTAAGATCTGTTATTGTACAAATATATTAAAAAGAGCAAGACTGTGAGATCTCTTAAACATGACTTGAGGGCAAAATAATGTATGTTTTACATCTGTGCTGCCAGAGCAGAAAAGAAAGACGAGATAGAGCTGAGAAGAAAGAATGCCTCTTCACTTACCCCTGGGAGAATCTTCATGTTGTGAAGAGCATTCTGTGCTTCTAGTGCAGCTTTACGGGTATAAAACGTAACAAAACAGCACCCTGCAATCGAAACAAAATGCTAGCTAAGTAAGAACACTAGGAATCCTGATGTGTTGTACAGAAATTAGAAATCCCCCACTTCCACCTTTCCAATGCAAAATACATGACAAATAGAAGTTAGGCATTGAAATAGGTAGGTGTTACTGATTTTAACTTGAAAAAGATTCATGTGTGTAATAAAACAGGATACCATCAACAGGATATATTCAATACCATAACATATCATTAAAACAAACACTTAAATGTATCTGGCAAACAAATCTTGGCTACTTCCACTGTTAAACTCAATTATTTGGTAGTATCCAGATCTTAGATCTGGTTTTACAGGAAATACATTATTGCATATTACTGAACTGCAAACCCAGGTTACAGCATTTAGTTAGGATTTGAGGTACTAAACATTTGATATATACAAAAAAATAAAACTTTTGATTTTGTATTTTATCTGAAACTGTGACACTTCCAGCAAGATTGTGGTCATATCATAACATCATAGCAATGCTCTACAGCCAACACAATATTTATTAGGTGTTCTGCTCTGTATTTATAATCCAAACAGCAAACAGGTAAGATTAGAACTGTGTAAAAGCAGCTGAGACCCCAAGTCTAACATGAGAAAGACAGTTCTCACCTTTGCTTTGAGGGGGGTTTTGGCTCCTGTCCCGCAAGACATTGATTTCATAGACAGCACCATACTGTTCAAAAAGTTCTCTTAGATCTTTCTCACACCAGCTCCGTGGGACCTGACCCACAAACATCTTGATAGCATCTAGATCAGGTTGGTCTGGGTGATCCAGTGTGCCATTCATTTTCTTTGAGCTATGAAAAATAACAAGGAATTTCTGTTATATTACTCACTACAGATTCTACATGTCACTGCAGCTAGAAGCAGCATGCTTATAGTGAGATTAAAAATATATTTCAACAAGTATATAAACATGTACGATTAAAACAAAGAGACTCCTGCACATCTGCAATCCTGCATGGCAAGAGAATATTCATTAATATTATTTACATTCACTGGCAAGTCATTTACTTGGAAACCAATTACTCTGCACAGTTGTTTAAAACTTCTCCTAACGCATGCTCTTACAAGGTAGACATCTGGGATTCAGGAAATGTTTGATGAGATGACTGAAAAATGTAACTAGTTCAATCCTGTAAAATTTTACAGGAAAAACTGGAAGTGGAAGGAACCTAAACTAATAACTAGCATAAATGAGGGTAACTTTTTTGTATGTTTAAGGATGACTATGTGGAATTATATCCTGGGGTGAAAAAACATCTTAAAACAGAAAAATAGGTACAATTGAATCAATGAGAAGTCTTGTTAAAGATTTACAATGATACAGTGCTTTGTGAAACTAGGCAGCTTTCAACAATATCTGGAAAAAAAACAGGTTCAGGTTGCAGATGAACAGGTCGGGCCTGGATAATCTTAGTCTCAGACTAAATCAAACTGAGTAACAACAGTAGGGTGCTAACACAGAAAGAGAATCATTACTTAGATTACAACAACACACAAGCTTTGATTATGGGGTTCTTCAAAAGGTTTCAAGGCACTACATGGAGCTGTATGTGAGGCACTACATGGAGCTGTATGAACTGTTTAAAGCCTGTCAATAAAACTGTTATACTTCACCCAGCTACCTGAAAGCCATACGCTGCTTTCTGTATTGACTCCTCACTGTTTGCTGAATACAATGTGAGGTCTTGTTTTTGGCAGTCACAGGCTGGTATACCACAGGACCTATCTTTGTGGAAGGCTGTAATGACATCCTATTGCAGCTGTAGTGATTAGTATGCTAAAATTGCTGGCCAACCCCTACATAATCTAGAAAGAACACGGGGACCAGAACAGTAACCATGCAATGATTCCCCCCAGCCTGCTCCCCAAGCTCATTGTTGAAGGATACAGTGGCCTTCTTCCCGAGTAGTCAGCTCTCTTCATCTTTGTTTTTTTGTTTTTTGTTTTTTTTTTTCTTTTTTAAAGATTTTTTTTCAATAGCTTATTACATTACAGGCAATGACAGGAACACTGTTTACTATAGGCACATTATTCCCTCAATATAATTTTTGTAGAAAATTTTCCAAAACCAGGTAACGTTTAGTTATTTTTTCTCCCCTCTCAATACGCTGATGTACAGAGTACGATAAAGAATTGATGCCAAAGTTTTTTAACTGTATGAACTGACCTCAGAAACCACACAGCTTCTTACTAGAAGGAAAGAGAATTATCCTCATAAATCCTTTCACTACTCAACCTTTCCACTCCAAAAGAGTCAGCATCTCTTCAAATATCCAACATAAAGAATACCTTTTACAAAGAGGTAAACTGCATGTTTTTTTCGTTCTAAATGAGAACGACTGGAAGTCACTTAACCTTTTCCAGTAATAATTTTCAGCCCTGCTTTCTCTCCCGTGGACAGTTTCAGGAGCACTGCCAGTCCTCTGTTAAGTGAGCAATTTTTAACATGACCTCAACAGGATTTCAAGGAATCCTTCATTCCTAATTAGAAGGTTTAGTCTGGAATCATTAACAGGAAAGCACTGGAATTGTTCTCCCAACAATTCATTTCAATAACTGATTTTAGAACATCAGCACCCGTAGCATACAGCATACACGTAAACAGTACAATCAAATAGCTTTATTCCTCCTTACCCCCAGCCCCAAAATTAACCAACTTTTTCCTCTGCGCAGAATCCAGAATCAACTCCCAAAGCCTGCTACGGTTTCCTCAAGAAAACAAATTGCAGACTCCCCTATCCCTCTTCCCCCCCGCGGCAAGGGGAATTCATGAGACAGCACTGACTTCAGAGACAGCAACTCCAACTCCCACTTCAGTTATAAAATTAGACATGAAAGTAGACTACTTACACAGGGCTAGCATTCAAGGAGCAATGGTCCACCATCATCTCCGGGAGGAAATCCAACTTGAACGCAGCCATCACACCTCAGTCTGTCCCAAACTACTAGCACTAACTCGGTGTATTGCCTAACCCCTAAACAACGCACTTCCAAAAGTCCTGCAGGTCTTAACACTCAGCCACACAAAAAAACACTCAAACCACAGAAACAGAAGCTCGGGGAGACCAGCAATAGACACCACAGAAACAGGCTGGACTGGGAAAGGGACATGGAATCCCAGATTAAAAAGGGGATGTGACCATGTGAAGGGAGGCTCAGCTCAATACACAATGAAAATGCTGATGCACTGGGCTTGTTTTGTGCAATTTTCCCTGGCGAAGCAGTACTGAGTGCACTGTCAGATAAACAGAGTGTCAGATCCATGAAGATAGCAATGGGTAACAGAGCAGAAAGAATACAAACTCCAGTCTTTCCATCCCCAACTAACTCCTTGCCTCCCAAAATGGCAGCCCAAGGCCTCGAGATCCAGGCAGTTCCCATCTCAGCAGCATTAAGGTGGACAATTCATTGTGTGTAGTCAAAAGGTTCTTTCCCCACAAACATTTTCAATGTCTGATTAATGATCTCACTCTTTCCATCTTGTGCCATTTTTGACACTCTCTTAAATTCTAGGCAAATGCCAACTGTTTCTCTGAACCTGCCAAAAAAAAATAATCAAAGCTAAGGTCTGTTATCTCAAAAAATCCCCAACTCCCACAGGAGCTTCAACAGCTCCTCTTTAGAGGAGCAGAACATCCTTTGTTTTGGAAACAACACTTTGCCCATCATGGTTCTGTAAATCCAGAGACACACAGACAATGAAGAAAGGGAAAAATACAGGTCTAGTGGTAATACCATTCCTGTTTTTATACTGTTCCTGGCAGAGATTTGTTGAAAACTGTTGTATAAACTTTGGAAACACTGATCGTAACACCTTAGCTCCTTCATCACTAGAACAGGAATAACATGTTCATCGAGGAACCGCGAGGTGTAATAATTACACGCATAATACAGGCCTATTGTTAAGCCTCCAGTACTCAAACTAATGGGGAGATAATCTTGTTAATACCACATTGTGAGATGCAGAAATATTTGATTGCAGAGTGTGCTACAGAGCCAGCTGGGTGTGTCCAAGCACTCCAAGTGGTGTGATTAGCTCAAGTCCAACATGAATCCAGATAAGCCTTATGCATACAGCCAATACAACCCCATAATAAACTCTTAGAGCATCATTAAGGAACGCACACTGGGTCAACCGTGATCGCTTTTCTTGTCTGTCAATGACTGCAACACGTACCTGCAGTTATTTAGACTGGCCAGTATACCAGCTTTCTTTATGCTTGCACAAATAGAGCATGTCTATTATTTTTTAGATAAATAACCCTTTCCAACCTCTGAAAAAAAAAGAACATTTCCCATCTTCTGCCTACAGCGAGCTGGGCCTTGTAATAGAGAGACGTACGTTACTGCGAAATAAGAGAGGGCTTGAATTTATCACACATCAGATTTTGGCACTAACTACTTCATGCATGCTCTTACTATGTGGTAAATGCAAGGAGGCTTATCCCTAAACGAGAAGGTGTAAGCTACCTGCTAAGCACCACTGGCATAAGCACGCAAGTCGGCACTGTGGAACACAGGTCAATTTACTAGCTTGCAGTAAATTGTTAGTATCTACCTTCAGACACATCTCACGGGCTTGTCCTACTTGAAAAATGCCATTCTGAATAAAATGCATCATATTCAAACATTGAATTCAGCCCGTGGCCTACTTTATGGATTTTTCTAAAATGAACCCACAAAGAGAAACACTTCAGATTTATATGGTTACAAAGCAGCAGATAATATACTGGGGTTCTCTCCATTGTTTCTAGGGGTTTTCTCATTGTTTCTCCATGATTCTAGAGCTCAGCACCGTGAATTCTGGTCTTACCAAAGACAGAAACAGAACACCTCTCATCCTTAGTTTTAAGCAGCCAGTAAAACACTGCAGCAGCCATAGTCATTGTAGGTTTGATGAAAAATGATGCTGGTATGAGATACTCTAGAAAATGGGTTTCAAAAACGTTACTGGATTGATTAGCTTAAATCACTACATCATTCTGATTTGCTTTTACCCCCACATCTCTCTGCTCCCCAGAACAGAAAGCATATTTGTTTGTTCCGTTAAAACAAAAATGCAACAAGATACAGGCAGAAAAATTCCCACATCCTTCACTGTCACACTGTTACACTCCATGTCAAATTCAGTTTTCTGGCTTTGCTCATTAAAACATTAGTTTTGTACAATTATCCTGCCACATATTAATTTCTAATTCTCATTATACTTACTCTTTTCTCCTCTGATATGCTCACTTCATGTAATGAAAAACTGCCAAAAATATTTCACGTGCTGTTATGTACAATTTGAGGGAAGGAAAAAAAATACTAGAATGGTGGATAAATAGCTGAATGTACGTTAGCCACGACTCCATGCTTCACGGTGCCATCATTCCACAGTAATGACGGCAGTTTCAGTGACAAAACATTAGTACAGAGAATGGTTTTGTTTTAACATTACTTGGCTGAAGGAATCAAGTTGATGAGAGTAAAACACTTCCGGACTTTTCTTATAAAAATATCAGAAAGAGTGGAAAAAGATGGTATTTCACTACTGCATAGAAGTTGGAAGAATAAAGCAAAGAGGTTATTTCTTTGGAATTATAAAAACACAAAAGCCATCCTAGCCATTGCTCACAAAGAAAGAAAAATTAGACAGCTAAACACACTTATTTTTTGCTCAGATGTCAAATTCCTGCTGGCTTCCAGACCCATTCTTTGACTGTTTCTATTCAAAGGATAATAGAAACAATGTCTGACATTCCAAGCTCTATGTACTGTAGCTACAAATTTAAACGTGGTGCTAACCTGA